AAACCCTAAACCCTATGAGACCTACCCAGTCGTGTGCGTAGCGAGCTGGACAGGAGGGCCGACCAGTTGAAGCCGGGTGGCTGGACCTGTTATTGGGAACCTCTCCCAGAGGGTCCAAGTACCTGATAATTAGGTACTTGGGATTTGGGTGATAGGGATTATAGTACAGGTTTTGGGTAAGTATATGATTATTGGGTACTTGGACCCTTAGGGTCTTGGGTTAAGGGTTTAGGGTTTAGGGTCCGATTAAGGGTTTGAAGTGGCACTTTAAACCCTAAAAACGCTAAGCCCTAAAGAGTTCTAGAGCTGTAGGATTTTTGGGTTTAGGGTTTAGGGTGACTTAGGAGTCAGGAGGTCTGGGGGCTCTGGGCTGAGGAGTTGAGTGTGGGTCTTCGGTTCCAAGGGTGGTGTTTAAAAGGGGCCGCTTCAGCGCTCGTCAGCATGGATATCAGCCTGCGAAGGCATACATCCTAGGGTTTAGGGTTCAGGGCTTAGCATTTAGGGATTAGGGTTTCCAACGCTGGGAAACTTGTAAAATTGGGGCTCAATTTCTGGACGGAGTTTCAAGATGCGTTCCCGGTATATAACTCAGAAGTGCATAGGTGCGCGGCCGCGGCAGCTGAAAAGTTTAGTCGTATTAGCTTTTGTGGGCAAAGCACAGGTTTGGATAGGAAAGCCGCAGGGTGAGACCAAGAAGAGGGCCTATGGAATGATAATTTGGCAGGGAAAATAAGAGCACCAGTCAGTGCAAAGTAATGGTTTTGTTCTGAATACCATGGTGTCAAAAACTGAAAGACCTGCTGAGTGGGAATTTCTGATGGGTCTTTGGCAGGGTTCCGTGGGATTTGGGCAAGATACCGTGGGACTTCAGCAGCAGGCCCTAAACCCTAAGCCCTATAAACCCTAAACCCTAAGCCCTAACCCCTTAGGGTTTGGGCGCTAGTTTGTCGGGCAAACACGTGGTGCATCCTTGACCAGCTTGCAGGGTTTCTTTTGGTAGGTTGGGAGAGTTGTAGATGTGGCTGGGCACACAGAATATCATGTGATTGGTAAGGGCCCCTTTCATAGCCCCTCATGACCCAAACTCTCTATGAGGGATTACTTGGGCCCATCTACAGATTACTGGGCCTCCTGGGGCTATTGGGGGGCCCCATGTCGCTGAAGGTTAGCACCCTAAACCCCGAAAGGGTTTAGGATAGCTGCAGGTTGAGGGTCATGGAAACATACTAGCCGGGCTGTAGGACAGCAGCAGAGACTGCATTGCGAGTATCCCATACTGCCCCCATCCAGTTACAGTTGGTTCGCACAGTATCCCATACCTCCAACCCTCAACCCTAAACCTCAAACCTAACCCCCCTCACCCCAAAACAAACAAATCCAGGTCAATGTCTGACAGTGGACCGAGGCCAACACAATACGGTTTACTGGGTTGCTGTTAAGGAACATAAGTTAACTTACTCTGATTAGGAAACCCTGTTACTTCCTATACATATATATATATATACCCACAATCTGGCAGCTTAATTTAAGTTCCTTAAGGGCAACCCGGTTAAGGGCTTTAGGCTTACGGTCTGGGGTCGGGCCTGGGGTTTGGCCCGCGTTTCGTTGCTGGAGACATTTGTATACTTCTGTAGTTCCAGTCTTTACATGACCTATAGTCTAAACTCCTTGAGAAGGGGGTTATATAGAGGATTCTATAGGGGCATACTGCTAGCTTAAGGTTGTAGAGGTGTGCAAGGTGATTTTGTTTTCTTCGGAGCTTGCTGTGTTTACCTTTCAAGGTCTGAATGCCCATGAAATACAAAGATCATTGGGCATTTTCTTAGTCTTTCAAGTCTGAATGATACATGTTCCAGTACATGTTAAGAAATAAAGTATGTGAAGGTGCGGGAGGTTTTCTTCGGAGCTTGCTGCGCCCAAAATCCTCTATGAGCTTCCCATGCCTTAAGTCGTTGTGGACGTAATCATCCCACCACTCACCCCCCCTCCTAAAACAAAGGCGGTCAAAAACTGCGAAATTCCGTAAACATCCACAAAATGCGTTTTTGGCCAAAATAGCTCAAGCTGGGAAAAGCTACGAAACACAAAAACCGAGTTCTTAAAAAATCAAGAAAAAGCAGACTTTCAGAAAACGTACCAACGGCCACATGTATTGCAAATACCAGTACTCTAGGCTGCTTCGACCACAAGAATGCAAAAACAAGAGAGAAAATTCCCGACTGGCAATTGGAAGAGGAAAAACAAATACATAACAGATTACGTAAAGAGGAAATGCTGTAAATAGCAGTGAAAATCTGCATGGCGGCTGTCATGCTCAGACAAAGAAGCACAGAAAAGAGAGTCGTCAAATGCCAAAAGTATGCCTAGTAGTAGTAGTAG